AATATATCTACGTAAATCATCTCTGGAATTTATCGCAACTTCTCGATCTCTAGTAATTAAACTTGATCATATTGCACGCACCTCTTGTGGAGGTATTTTTAAAACAGAAAAATCGTAACGTGTATTTATATATTAAAAATTTTAATATACAGCCATGAAAACAAAAATAAATTCCAAGCATACATATACGAGCCCCTTCCCACTTCAGTTGGCCCACCGATTGATATCTTAGTTTATTTGCGCAGGATCAAAAAATAATAAATACTACATGCTGTTTTAAGGTCCAAAATTAATTAACCGGGCATATTTAATAATACGTAGTAGAAAACACCAACTTTATTGTTCCCTATTCAAATTTGTAACAAAGAAGCAAGAATGTTCCAAATATGGCGACATCAACCCATTTTTATTTAGTTACAAAGTAAGCCTATAATGCAAAGATGGCCTTGGAAAACAGACGCCGCGACAATTGTTAATACTCATAGCTGTCAGAATGCATTTTATACAGCTTCAAGGTAGTTGTGTTCTTTAAAATGGGCAGAGGAAAGATTATTGATGACAAAATTCGCTCACTTATTGTTAAATTTTTTATTCTGGGAAATCAAACTCGGAAATTGCAAATTTATTAGAGTTATCTCGGTATAGTGTAAGAAATATAGTTAGAAGATATAAATCTACCGGTTCAGTCGCCGCAAAGCCTCGACATGTGAAAAAAAGCAAGATTACAAATGCCGATAGAAGAGCATTAAGACGAATTATCCAGAAAAATAGGCGCGTCAATTACCTTGAGTTAAGTGCTCTGTGGAGTGATGCTGTTGGAAGGAGAATTTCGAGATCCACATGTCACAGGGAGGCTCACAAAATGGCATTTGGCACTTACAAGGTAAGTTTTTTGACAAAAACATTGAAGTAGAAAAATTGAAAGTGGCAATTTTGCTTTAGGCCAAAGAAAAGCCACTTTTAACACCACAGCAGAAGAAAAATAGAGTAAGATGGGCAAAAGAACATAAGGATTGGTCATCTCAGCAATGGCGTGCAATACAATGGAGCGATGAGGCCCGATTCGAAGTGTGTGTTGGACACAGTTGAAGTCGAGTTATTCGCAAAAAAAAAATGAGGCGTTCCATCCTGACTGTCTCAAAAGGAAGGTAAAATTTCCTGCATCTGTAATGGTCTGGGGCAGCATGTCATCCAAAGGAGTAGGAAAACTTCATTTTATTGAAGGAACTGTAGATGCAAACAAATATTTGGACATTTTAGAAGAATCACTTTTACCGGTCATGTTTGACATCAAACCAAGATTTTGTGTTTCAGCGGGATGGCGCAGCATGCCACATTTCAAAAAGAACTTTAAAATGGATGGACGACTATGGTATACCACTTTTGGAATGGGTTTCTAGTAGTCCTGATCTATCACCGATTGAAACTTTGTGGCACGAGATGAAAAAGGTGCTACGGAAACGTCATGTTAGAGCAATCCCCGAACTGAAACAAAGGCTTCAGGAAATATGGGATTCGTTTACACCGGTGTTATGCCAAGGCTTAGCTAATACTATGCCCCAACGAATTTCGGCTGTAATAAAAAATAAAGGCGATGTTACCCAGTGGTAAACTTTAAAATTGTTGTTTTCTTAATTTTAAGTATTTGTTCACATATTCTTTATTTGTTCTCATTTTGTGTTAGTTATCGATATTAGTCACTTCATATGTATTTTTTGTGATCAAGAGGTACTAAAGATGCTGTAAAAAAATATAAACACTTTGAAGTTCATGTAGTACTTCTATTTTTGCTCCCTCAAGACGAATTTCTGAAAAATCCTAAAGTGGGCCAATTGAAATGGGAAGGGGCTCATACAGACATTCATACCTACAACACAAAAATCAAAAATAATATCTACTTAAATCACCACTTCTTACTAAAAATCATCCATCTATGCGGGTTTCCATTTGTATAATTTGCTACCCGAAAATCTTAAAAAATTCTCTTCCAATTTTAAGAAGAAACTAAAGAAACTACCTAGCAGCTGTTCACGCATTCTATACCATTGGGAAGTGTGTTACAAAATATTCAAACTGATGGTGATTTATTAAGCATATAAATTTTAAAGTAATTTTTTGTTAGTGTTATTTTACTTCCTATTATTTGTTTATAGTAAAACTAATAATTAAATATGTTTTTTATCACTGCTATTAAGAGTAGAGCGGTAACTTATCGAATTTAAAATGGTATACTATGGAGAAGCGTGTCAAATGAGTTTTAATGTGTGTTAAAAAAAAAATTCAATTGTTCAACCTATTCTCATCTTTAAATGATAGCTATTTATGATACAATTGTTAAAAGTGATATTTTCATTTCTGTGGGGGAAGTTTGCAAATGATGCGAAGCCGAGTGAGGCAACCACACGAACAAAATAAAGTCACTTTTAACGCGTGTTACATACATATGTTTTCTGCGACAGTAATAATAATTAGAAAATTTATAAAAATATGTGTGATTTAACATTTAAGAAAATCAGATGAAATTAAATAAATGTGACAATTCTCAATGTCACTTTAACAACAATGCAAACGAGTTTTATTTAATGATGATAATTTGTAGAACAACTGAATATTTCTACTTTTAAGCTAAAATTAAAAGGTGTACGTTTTAACGGCGGTCGTAGAAAAAGCTCTTTTGTATTGTGGTTAAATTGACATTGAGAACTATCACATTTATTTAATTTCATTTGATTTTCTTAAATGCCAAATCAAATGTATTTTTATAAAATTTCTAATTATTATCACTGTCGTAGAAAAATAGTGTATGAAACATGTGTAAAAAAGTGATTTTATTTTGTTTATAGCTTTGCTTCACTCTGCTTCGCGCCATTCGCAAACTTCCCCGCTCACAAAATAAAATGACAGTTTTAACATATATCATAAATAGCTATTTTGAACTGTTTTTATTTTTTTAGTTCTGTTTTGTAGTTACCATAGTTTTATCATTATAGATTAGAATGTTTTCTAGATATGTATGTTTTTAGCCGTAGAGTATGAGATAAAAAATTATAATTTTTAAAAAACTTTTTAGGTTTACATCTAAAGATGCACTGAAATTACATCAAAAATCTCATATATCCCTTATGTGTGATAAGTGTGGGAAGCAATTCAATGAGCAAAGTTCCTTCAGTTCACATATAGCCACCCATAAATTATCTAGATTCATTTGTGAAGTTTGTGGGAAATGTTATAATTCAAGGAGTAACTTTAATTTGCACCTGAAAAGTCATGAAAATAATTCGTTACACTGTGACCAGTGTCCAAAAGTTTTTAAAACAAAATTGCGTCTTTCACGCCACATTAACTATGTTCACACGACAAATTATAGCGAACAGTGCAGTCAGTGTGGTAAAATATTCAAAACTAGAGGGACCCTTACCTCTCATATTAGGTAAGAATAAAGTAACATTATGTAAGATGTTGCAAATGTAATGTAGTTACCAAAAACACAGGCGCAAATGGTGAAATTCAGGCTATGTCATATCGTAATATTGTAGCATGGGACTCAAGCGATACTTTAAGGCATAACTATCAAGACTAAATGAAGAAGTTTGCAGAAGAAAAATGCGATTGAAATTTGCGAAGAAAAGTTGGAAAAAATTGTGAACCTCCAAGGTTATTTTTTAAATGATCTGTAAAATATTTGCGAAACATTTTTTTTTTTTTTCAGAATTAGGCGGAAAATATAATTACAGATTTCAAATTTCATAAAAAATATTGATTTTGTTACAAAGTTGCACCTTTTTGAAATTTGCACAATGAAAAATGAATCTGTTATAAAATTTTAAAACGGTGTAACTATAGAAAACCAATATTTTTTGATGAAATTTGAAATCTATCGTTATATTCTCCACCTGATTCTGGAAAAAAATGTTTTGCAAATATTTTATAAATTGTTTAAAAAATAACCTTAGAGGCTCGCAATTTTTTCAACTTTTTTCGCAAATTTCAGTCGCAATTTTTTTTTTTTTGCAAAACATTTCATTTAGTCTTGATAGTTATGTCTTAAAGTATCGCTTGGGTCTCATGCTCCAATACTAAGATATGACAGCCTAAATTTCACCAGCCGCCACTGCAAAAACTAGAATTGCCAATTCAATTTTTCTGGAAATTTCCAGCCACAAATAAAGAAAAATGTATGGAAATTTTCCACTTTCTCTATCTATAAATAGAAAAAGCATTGGCATTGTGAAAAAAATGAGGTTCCAGATTATGATGAAAAGGGACGTTTTGAGACCTGAAAATAGAAAATGTATCTGAATTGGTATGCCATCTGTGAGTCAGTGTGTTACTGATCATTGTTGTGCTATGATTTTCTCAAACATGTCTCGACCTAGAAATCTAAAACTTTACATATAATATCGGGGGGGGGGGGGGGGGCTGCGATCGAGTCAAGCTGGTAGTATAAAATTTGCAATAAATAAAAAACAGTAAAAGAAAAGATACAATGCATAGCTATATATTTGAAATCACAAAAAAACAGATTTCAAAAATGAAAAAAAAATAGGGTGTTCCATTTAAAAAAAATCTAACTGGTTTGTCCCGTTTTTATGGAACCACCTGTATATTCTTTGCAGGGATTCTAAAAGAGTTCAGTTGATTCATTACAACTTTTATTTAAAATATTTTTTTTCTAACTCTAAAATAAACAAAATATAGGGGTGGGCCTTTTCTTTTGATAACCCTGTACAAGATAATAATTACTCAAAAAATAGATTTATTTACACAAATTGTTCTTCACTTTTTTTTTTTAGTCAATTTGGGGTGTAATTTTTTACAGTTAGGATAAAATGCCACAAAAATTTTCTCAGTGCACAATAATTTTCTATTATTTTATCTGTTTATTAAATTTACTGCTGCCGCTTCACAGTCTGATCCTTTTCTTGTAATTTCTTATTTTTTTCTTCAATTTTAGTGGGCAACAATATTTTTTCTTTCTTGTAACATGTTTCTTAAACGTGGCTTCTTGGTCGAGTGGTAAGGATAATTGCCTCTCACTCTGGATTCATGGGTTCGATCCCCAGTCGAGGAGTAAGGATTTTTTCTAAACCAGGAATTAAATCGTAGCATATTCGGACATTGGGTGTGTGTCTATTGTCTCGAAATGTGTAGCCCTCTCCCACACAAGGTACCTTAAGGGATACAGAGGGTTGTATTACCTGTGGTGTGTTTTTCTAACAGGTCACAGGCATAAACACATTTAATCTTTGTCACCAGAGTAAAGTAATACAAAACAAGTGAGACATAGATAAAAGAGGCATTAAAAATACTAGATGATCTGGAATTTCTGGCCGTTTCGACAATGATCAGAACCACCAAATGGAAAATCTCTGTACATTTCAAAATAATATAAATATTTCCTAAAAAAATAGAAAATTTACAGTATTAATAGAAAATGTCAACTGAAAATTTTCATTCACAACCCCACGAAAAACAGTTACAACTTTTTTATTCAGTTTGATAAATTAACCTCAATTATTTAAAAACTTCATTGCAGATTGAAACATTCACAGGATCAATCATCACACATCTGCAAGATTTGTGGACAACAATTTTCTAGAGGTGATTACTTCCGAAGACATATGAATCGTCACGCTCTGGGAATACAGAGACGAAAATATCGTCGTGAATATGTAAAATTAGGTATATATTAAATTTTTTTTTAAAGTATTTTTATGATTTGAAAACATCTGATAAATATTAGATTACTATTTTATGGTGATGTAAAATTAACAAAAATTAAAAATATTCACTATTAACATGGCCGTAACATTTTCATGATAATGGGGGAGGGGGTTCCAGGATGATATTTAATTATCAAAACTTCTTTTTAAAATATTTGTTACATATTAATTAACAAGTCAACAGGTTACCTGCATATTGATTTCCCTCTGGTACCAGCAATGGTGAATTTACACGGTACCAGTAACTCACTCGATTCACTAAAATTGAGTACTGGAATCTAATGTTTAACAAATTAGTAGTATTTACAAGGTATTATAGTAAAATATGATGCCAGGAGAGCAGCCACTTCATGCGTTCAGAAATTTTGTAAGTTAAAATGCCGAATTTCAACAATTAAAATGAATCGTAATAGAAAAAGCATTATTAAACTGAATTGTTTGAAAGTGTTATGCGAAGAGATGGTAGACATTTTACAGGAGGCACTGGTTTCCAAGAAAAGGTTGTGAGTAAGAAAGTAGCTAAGTATGAGGAAGATACATGGAGCTTAAAATATGCTTTTAAAAGAGGTTGCTTTGAAAGACATTGCAGAATACCGAAACTGTATGAGAAATGTCTCCAACATATTTTAACATACTTCTACAAAAAAAATTTCCAACTATATAGCACAACGATCGGACACAACAATAAGAAGATAGTTTTGCATTCCAGAGGCATTCTTGGTCTCTATGTTTCTACAAATTTGATACTTGTATCGTCACTCAATTTACTAGCCATTTAAAAAAACATGATTTCTCAAATATAAATAGACAGGTAGCACAGCACTACACTGGCACGGTCACTAAAATACATATAGAAAATTCGTCTACACTTGTTTATTATTTCACACGGTCGAGTAAAGGGCTGGTGGGGGTAACAACTCCCACCGGTATAAAGGATTGTGTTCTATTCACCCGACTGGAATGAGTACTCTACTGGACCACCAAAGCGCCTGTTTACACGAGGAGAGTACTAAAATCGAGTACTCGGTTTTAGTTACTAGAGTGAGTTACTGGCACCATGTAAATTGACCTTAAATCTCGAAAACTAAACCAAGTCTTCTTCGGTTTTAACATTTAATGTTTGACTGTTCCTTCTGTATTCTTTAAATCAACTTCAACCTCAATAATCGGAAATCAACCTCGAATTTCATTACGTTTGTTACAACTGTCAGTTTTTATTGTCAAAGATATCAGCCTTTAATTTAGGCCTTTGTCATGTTTCCTCTACCACAGTTTGTTTATTTCATTTAGGCACCAAACAAAAACGTTTACTCAGCCAAACTTATTATCTAAACATTTTAAAAATAACAGTTTTTCACATCCATCATGCTTTTTTCCTATATCATTGCATATAGCTTAAATATATACAGTAGAGGGGGTCAAGAATAAAGGAAAACTAATTATTTTATATTTTGAAAAACCTCTGCCTTTTAGAAGTTTCCTTAGCTCATGAAGTATATTCTCAAATTTTTCAAAAATCTCAAATGTCACTACCTACCCCCAACCAACTACTAAATACAACTTATTATAAAAGAAAAGGGGTTTAATAATTTTTTCCAAAAATATTCCTATTAAGGACAGAATTTAAAGTCACATATTTATGGATAGTGCATTTTGAATTAAAAATTGATACAATTTTTGACCCACAAACACCCATAAGATTCTATTTGAGTAATATAGTAACTTTTTTTTTTGTAGGTCCAGCAAATTGTAAATATTGTCCAAAGTCATTCCAAACAGTGTATAAACTAAGAATGCATCTTTTATGCCATGTAAAGAAGATTCGATACAAATGTCAATTTTGCACCGCTAATTTTACTAGTATATCAAACAGATGGAGACACGAACAAAGACATAAGGACCCTACTTATGAATTATGGTAATACAGGCCTTTTACCAAATATTTTAGAAAATACTTTGCCAATTTCTCAATAGAATGAGATATCGCTTTAACATTTATTTAAACATTAAACACCATAAGTAAACACTTAAAGAAATATCGAAAATATTTATGATATCCTAAGGTTCCATGTAGGATTCATTTTCATACAATACAATTTCAGGGACTTGAGATGATTTATTTTTTGAATTTACGGAGTGACGTTTCAACATTTTTGACATAGTTATAGTAAGCAGTTTTTATTTGTTCTTTAATTACACATCTTAATCTTGCAGACAATGCTCGTTACAATTTTTCCTATAATCCTTTAAAATTCTAGCTTTTTTTCTTAATATTTTTAATAATATCTGACGTGTACCAATTTGGAAATTATTATTATGGGTTTTGTAAAGAGGAACATATGAGTGAAACGTTTGATATATCTTTTTATAAAAATCATCAACAGTCGAATTTACCTCTTTAAAATGCATTAAAAATGTTGACTGTTTGCAGTAATGAATTATACAAAGACAGAAAATCAGTCTTCCTAAAATTGTAACTTTGATTTTTGTTTGCTCTGAATTGCAGATTTGTATAACCAATTTTATGAAAGCCAACAATCAAGGCTGGGTGAAGCATGTCGATTGAAACAAGTGAAGCATTATTACTAAAGTTAACGGCACTAGTAACTTTTACCTTGAAAACGTATTTATGAATGGGCAAATCCGTACGCTATTCAGTGTAGCCGCAGTCAGTTTGTATTGTAAAATCAGTATTTACTTCACTGTTTACCAGTGAGCCGCATGCCCAACATATTAAAATTGTGGTAGGGTTTAAACGGCGGCCATTCGTTAGTTCTGATTGGCAGACAGATCGTAAACAGACCAGCTTTCGAGTTGCTGCGATCTATTTTGTTCTGCCAGAGGCATAGCATATAGGAAGCAGGTGAATAAATAAGAGAAAGGGGAATCACGATATAAATATATGTGTCATATCAAAGTAAGCATTGATTAAAATAATTATTACTTCATGAAAATAAATAAAAATTGCCATAAATTGAAAAAAAATGGACCTAAATAAAACAAAAAAACACTGTTAGTTTTTAAAACAGTGAAGAATATAAAAAAAATTATAACAATAATTAATACACAAATAATAGAATATTAATAAAACCTATATCACAACAAAGAATGAAAACGGTAAAACATAAAAATAAATAGTGAAGCTCATAAAAAAATATAACATCAGAACAAAAAAAATATACATATACAGTGTGTCCCCCGATTGAGTTCGCAATAGGTGATATGGACCTCAGCTTTTAGATTTTTTTTTGCAATTTGAGAGTTCATCCCTGGTTATCTGAAAAGAATTTGTTGGTGTTTTGTTTTATTTTTAATCATGTAGGCCATGGTAGTTAAGCAAAAACTACTTTCTTGTTATGTAAAGTACATTTTCTGTAAAGACAGCAAAATGTCAGTAAAGAAAGATATTCAGATTAATAAGTTGTACTTGTATGCAACATTTTAAGAAGATCCGCCTAGTTTGATGATTTTGACCTTTTTCTACTATAACCGCATTTTACGTTAAAATAATTTACATAACTAAAGTTTTTTTTCGAAATCGACATACTTAGTGTAGTGTCGTAAAATGACAGTTATTACACAGAAATAAAACAACAAAATATTTTATTACTAACTCCAAATTGAGTAAAAACTATTATAATATAATATATTTGAAGTATAAATTTTAAGGAGTTATTATTCCTTAATGGCGGCGCGGCGTTAGCACGCTTTCGTCGCAAGGATAACCGACAGAAAACTTTAAATGGCTGTTAAAATTTTTGTATTGATGAGAAGGAAAAATGAGAACTAGACATGATTCATCTTAAATATCATGGATTTAATATATAAAATTATAGGCAATACTGATGCCTATTTTCTTTATTAATAAGAAATACGAATATTTTATTTGGTGTCATTTTATGAAACTAAATCGTATTTTCTATTAATGAAAAAATACGCATCCATCAATATGGATTGCCTGTGATTATATATAAAATCTATATGGTATTTAGGAAGAATCACACGTCTTCATTTTTCGATATTACTGACAGAAAAATTTTAACAGTGTTTTATAGATTTAAGTTGTATATCTGGTGAAAACGCAGCTTTAAAATACAACTGAGCTGAGGTTTGTATATGACACTGCTCTTATTAAATAATCCCCGTATGAGCTACATAAACTACAAATAAATAAAGCATTTGAAATTTTCAACTAAAAAAATCAGCAATTGAGAAAACGTAACCATTTTAATTCAGTAATTAATCTGCTTCTTTCGGCTTGTTTTGCTGTCATAATGAAAATGACGTCATCATATTAAAATTTGACAAGTGACAATTTTGACATTCTGTCGTTACAGTGCAAAATAACAT